CGCGGGGCCCGAGCCGCCGCACGACAGCCTGGACTCGCGCATCGAGATGCTGCTGAAGGAGCAGCGCACCAAGCTGCCCTTCCTGCGCGAGCAGGACTCGGACGCCGAGCTGCAGATGGAGGGCAGCCCCATCTCCTCCTCCTCCTCCCAGCTCTCCCCGCTCGCCCCCTTCGGCAGCTCCCAGCCCGGCTTCCGCGGCCCCTCGCCGCCCTCCTCGCGCCCCTCCAGCACCGGCCTGGAAGACATCAGCCCCACGCCGCTGCCCGACTCGGATGAGGACGAGGAGCCGGGCCTGGGCCTGGGCCTGGGCCCGCGGCCCCCGCCGGAGCCGGGGCCCCCGGACCCCGCCGCGCTCCTGGGCCAGGCCGACACGGCCCTGGACCTGGCTGCGGACGGGACCCCGGGCTCGGAGAAGATGGATGAGGTAACGGCCCCATGCCCCGCGTCTGCCACTGGTTCTTGTCTGTGTTCCCTGCCCAGAACATTGAGGGAAGCCGGCTCAGGCACGGTGGCAGCCGGGCCCGTGCGCCCGAGCTTCGGCGCCACGAGAGCCCCCGGCTGGGCGCAGCCGCACTCCCCGCGGGTGAACCCTGGCTGCGGACCCGCACTCGCGGCTCCGCTAGGTGGCTTAGGAGCCGGCAGCCGGGCTGGAGCTCCGGACTCGGCCACCGGCCCACGGGCCCCAGCGCCGCACACTGGCAGCCCCCACCCTCTCCTCAAACATCCCGCCTGGCCTCGGGAAGGTTAGGTCCCCTCTTCCTGCTGCAGGCCCCGCGTGGCCCAGGGGCGGTTCCCTCCTTGGATCAGAACGGGCCTGGGAGGCCCAGCGGGGCCCACAGGTGGCAGGGGGGGGGGGCGGGCAGGCCATTCTAGGGAAGTTGTTTCTGGTAGCTGGGTCCAGGCAGAAGGAGGTGACAGGTGGGGGAGGCGGGGCTGCCGGCCCTGCCGGCCCTGCCATCTCCTCACTTGGCTGGCTTCCTGGGGTCGAGGGTCTTCAACCTTACTGACCAGCTGGCCCCAGATAGAAAGCCCAGAAGCCCAGAGTAGCTGGAGGACAGGATCACCCCTGCTGGAGGCAAGGGGAAATGGAGGCCAGGAGTTGGAGCCTAGGGAACCTGGACAGGCGGCCCTCGGGAGCCCTCTACTGGTGTCGGGTAGAGCCGCCGCTGGGCCAGGCAGGCCCGGCCTCTGTGACTGAGGCTAGCCCGGGGAGCTGGAAGGGCTCCCTTCTCAGAGTGGAGGTTGGGTCAGGTAAGCTGAGATGACCTCCGGGGTCTGTTTCATGACCTGTGGAATGGGTTAGTGAACGAGGCCGCCCCAGTGCCCGCTCCAGCAGAGCCCAGGCTCCCCCAGCCTGCAGCTGAAGTACTTCTACCCCGCGCAGGGGCAGGGCTAGAGCTGCGCGCCTGTGATTGGCTGGCCGCAGAGGCCTGGCTTAACCCTCTATGCGCTGCTCCTGTCCTGGGAGCTGTCAGGTGGAAGTCCTGCAGCGTTCTCCCCCAGTGTCTGGCCCATCCTGCCTACCCTCCGGTCTTGTGCCCAGGTGCCTGGAGAAGGAGAGCATGTTTGCTTGTGTGTGTGAAGGGACTAGAAAAAATCCCCACCCTCCTGCCCCTGTGGGTGTAATCATCATCTTCACCCCCCCCCCCCCCCCCACTCCTCAGGTTCCCTCAGGCCTCCCTCACCTGTAGGTCTTACCCAGGCCTCTGAGTACTCTGCCTCAATCCACAAATGCTGGCTCCCTCAGTATATGTGTCAGAGCATGCATTGGAGGTGTCCCAGCCCTGTTTCTCATGTGTGACAGTAGCTGGCCTTTCCTCACTTGTCACAACAGATCCTGATAGAGCTGTGAGGTTCTCCTGTAGATAAGAAAGGACACCATGCCTGCCCACAGCCCTCAGCCCCACACTGGCCTGCGCTCTCCAGGTGAAAAGAGTGATTAAGGCAAGATAGGAACAAATCTCTGGTGCTGGGAATGTGGCTGCTTAGTGGTGGCGTGCACAAAGTCCTAGATTCAACCCCCAGCCCTGCGCACAAAAACCCCAGCAACCACATCCCCTCACTCCAGTGTCACTTTCTGTGTCACAAGACAGCAGGCATGGGGCAGCAGGTCACTTCCTGGCTCAATTCTGGCCCCATCCAGGGAAGTTACTTAAGCTCTGTACCAATTTCCTTATTAGAAAAGCTGAAGATAAAATGTAAGTGTTGTAGCCACCATAAAGTTTATTAGTATCATCTCTGTGAAGGTACATTGAAACAGAATCCCCCAAATTGAAACAATCCTCATTCCCTGCCCCTGCCCCTTCCCTCACCCTTCTCCTGTCTCTCCGTGAGGTACTGTCTGATCTGTCTCCTACCCGTCTTACCTAATTTCATTCCGGTTATTCGGTGCCTCTTCCATCTACAAGTTCATTCCACAGAGCTAGAGTTGTATCTGTCCAAGTCTTTTCCATGTTCCCAGCATCTGGGACTGCCTGGCACAGAGCAAATATCTGTTGAATGAATGAGTTTATTTTTTGTTGTTTGTTTGGTTTTTGTTTTTGTTTTGTCAGTCCTGGGACTTGAACTCTGAGCTCTTCAGCTCAGAGCTAGTGCTCTTCCATTTGAGCTACAGCACCACTTCTGGTTTTCTGATGATTCACTGGAGACTTTCCTGCCTAGGCTGGCTTTGAACCGCGATCCTCAGATCTCAGCCTCCTGAGGGGCTAAGATGACAGGCGTGAGCCACCGGTGCTCAGCAATGCTGATGTTTTTGATCTTGGAGGGGCTCGGGAGTCCTTCACCACACCTGCTTCCCCCTGTCCTCCACAGGGCCAGCCGTCCTCCGGCGAGGACATGGAGATCTCGGATGATGAGATGCCCTCGGCTCCGATCACCAGCGCCGACTGCCCCAAGCCCATGGTGGTGACGCCAGGGGCAGCAGCTGTGGCGGCCCCTAACGTGCTGGCCCCGAATTTGCCACTGCCTCCGCCACCTGGCTTCCCACCGCTGCCTCCGCCCCCTCCTCCGCCCCCACCACAGCCAGGCTTCCCCATGCCCCCTCCTCTGCCCCCACCTCCACCACCACCACCTCCATCCCATCCTGCTGTGACAGTGCCCCCCCCACCCCTGCCAGCACCACCCGGTGTCCCACCCCCACCCATCCTGCCGCCATTGCCACCCTTCCCTCCAGGACTGTTTCCTGTGATGCAAGTGGACATGAGCCACGTGCTAGGCAGCCAGTGGGGTGGCATGCCCATGTCCTTCCAGATGCAGACACAGATGCTGAGCCGACTGATGACCGGCCAGGGCGCTTGCCCGTACCCACCCTTCGTGGCAGCGGCAGCGGCGGCTGCTTCGGCCGGGCTACAGTTTGTCAACTTGCCGCCCTACCGGGGCCCCTTCTCCCTGAACAACAGTGGCCCAGGCCGTGGGCAGCCCTGGCCGCCCCTGCCCAAGTTTGACCCATCAGTGCCACCACCGGGATATGTCCCACGGCAGGAGGACCCACACAAGGCCACAGTGGATGGCGTCCTGCTGGTGGTGCTTAAGGAGCTCAAGGCCATTATGAAACGCGATCTGAACCGCAAGATGGTGGAGGTGGTGGCCTTCCGGGCCTTTGATGAATGGTGGGACAAGAAGGAGAGGATGGCCAAGGTAGGAGGGCACGGGTCCCCAGGGTGGCTAGCGGAGCTAAGACGGGAGCCAGACCGGCCCCTTCTCCTAAGGCCTGCCCTCAGCGCCATGGTGGCTGGCATAGCCTCTCTTTTTTTTGTCCATTGTGGGGCTTGAACTCTGGGCCTGGGCGCTGTCCCTCAGCTCTTCAGCTCAAGGCTAGAGCTATACCACTTGAGCCACAGCGCCACTTCTGGAAGAGTCTCATGGACTTTTCCTTGGCTGGGCTGGCTTTGAACCGTGATCCTCAAATCTCAGCCTCCTGAGTAATTAGGACTACAGGCGTGAGCCACCGGCGCCAGGCAAGCATAGCCTCTTTCTAACTGCTCTGTCAGAGCCCACATCTGCCAGATTCATGTGGCTCTTCTAGTTTTTGTTTTTGTTTTTTTGGGGGTGAGGCTTTAAGTCAGGGCCTAGATGCTGTTCCTAAGCTCTTTTTGCTTAAGGCTACTGTTCTACCACTTTGGGTTTTCTGCTGTTTAAATGGAAATAAAAAATAAGAGTCTCATGGACTAGGATTACAGGCGTGAGCCTCCAGTGCCTGGCTCTTCTAGTTTCAGCCAGCTGAGAGGAAGCAAAAGTGAAAGTTGGCTCCTCATCTGCCCTCCTGCTCCGTAGCCACACGTGACAGTGGCCACAGGGCCATGGTTCCGTGGCTGAGGCACCTTGGACTGGCTCCCTGCCCTTTGTCTCCTGCTTTGTTTGGCACCAAAGCTCCCTTGGCAGGACGACTCTCTTCCTCTTTCACAGGGTATTTCTTTAAATTCCTAATCCCACAGTTAAGCTACAACCACTTTTTCCTCTGCGTAGGAGAAAATGTCTTCTCCCGCTGGTTTTCTCTAAGAGGTGGAGTCCTGCTGTGTCACCGGGCTGCGCTGCACTCAGGTGCCAGCCATCCTCCCGCCTTAGTGTCCTAGGTGCCACCATGCCCGCTTTCTGTAATGTAATGCCAGTTCCAGAGCTTGAACTCAGGGCCTTAGGCTCTTGCTTAACATTTTCACTCAAGGCTGGGGCTCTACCACTTGAGCCACAGGTCTCCAATTCCAGCTTTTCTGTTGGCAATTGGAGCTAAGAGTCTCATGGACTTTCCTGCCCAGGTTGGCTATGAACTTCAGTCCTCAGATCTCAGCCTCCTGAGTAGCTAGGATGACAGATAGGAAACTAGAAGGACTCATGGAGTATACTCATTTACAACTCTCTAGTTGGGCCTTCCCAGATGAGTGCTACTTACAGCTAACCAATAGCTGTCCCACTAATAATCTGAATCAAGAGCCCCATGCTGTCCACAGGGCTATTTTGGCCAGGCCTCACGCCTCCTGAAGGCTGTCGGGGTGATGTCTCAGTACCCAGTGAAATCAGATCTGTGGGAACAGTTCTGAATGCAGCCGAGCAGCATGGGGCCGAAAACTGGGACAGTGTCCATCTCACTGGTGAAACTTTTGTCTGGGCCTCCAGACACGTCCTTACACCATGCTGCGCCTCAATTCCCTCGTCTGAGGCTTGTGGCTGGGGTGGCCCACGCTGCGCCACTGGCGGGACAGGCCTTTCTGGAAGGAAGAGCACCCTGATCTGGCACTGCTGTGTTGCTGCTCAGAACGAGGGTTGACTGGCGACCATCCCCTTCTCTCCCGTCCAGGCCTCGCTGACCCCCGTGAAGTCAGGAGAACACAAGGATGAGGACCGGCCAAAGCCCAAGGACCGAATTGCCTCCTGCCTGCTGGAGTCCTGGGGCAAGGGGGAGGGCCTGGGCTATGAGGGCCTGGGCCTGGGCATTGGGCTGCGAGGGGCCATCCGCTTGCCCTCCTTCAAGGTCAAGAGGAAGGAGCCACCAGACGCAGCCTCCTCTGGTGACCAGAAACGGCTGCGGCCCTCCACATCTGTGGATGAGGAAGACGAAGGTTTGTGCATGCCTTCCCCGCCCCCCACTTGGTCTCCCTCCCATGTCCCTTGGGCTGCTCTGACTTTCCTCTCCCCACAGAGTCGGAGCGGGAGCGGGAACGGGACATGGTGGATGCCCCCTGCGAGCTTGCCAAGCGGGACCCCAAGGGTGTGGGTGTGCGGCGGCGGCCGGCGCGGCCGTTGGAGCTGGACAGCGGCGGGGAAGAGGACGAGAAGGAGTCCCTGTCTGTGTCTTCCTCCTCTTCGGCATCCTCCTCCTCGGGGTCCTCCACCACGTCCCCCTCATCCTCCGCATCCGAGAAAGAGGAAGAGCAGGAAAGCACAGAGGAGGAAGAGGATGGGGGCGAGGCTGACGAGGAGGAGGAGGAAGACCGCAAGAGTCAGATCTCCTCCTCCTCCTCTACCTCCTCCACCTCCGAGAAGGTCAGCATGGCAGGGAGGCCAGGGGGCAGGGCACGCCTCCAGGGGGCCTGCAGCTCACCCCCGTCCCCAACTGTCTTTGTCCCCTAGGATGAAGATGAAGAAGACAGTGATGCGCGGGAAGAGTCTGAAAATGAAGACCAAGACACAGCCCTGTCAGAAGCGGGCGAGAAGGGTGGAGGGGACTCGGACGGAGGTGAGTGGGGGGGTGCGGTGCGGTGCCGGGCGGAGCTGGTGCATGGGGTGGGGCTGGGGTGGAGGGAGGTGGTGGCCTGATGGCAGTATGAATGTTTTTGGGCTTCTTCGCTTTAAAATGAGCGGTTGGAAGCTCATTTCCTCTCCACTTTTAAAAGTGGTGACTAGCTGGCCTTCCCCTCCCCACACTGATTTGAGGCCTCCAGAGAAGGCTGTGGCATGGGGGGGGGGGTGGTCACAGATCGTGAGGCACCATTGTCCATTTCCAGAGGAGACGGTGAGCGCAGGCAGCTCCAGGGCCACAGCCGACTCGTCCAGCGAGAGCTCCGAGGCTTCTGAGTTCGAGTCAAGCTCTAATTCCGAGTCTGAGTCTTCGTCTTCATCCTCGGAGGATGAAGATGAGTTGGCCATGGTGAAAGAGGAGGAAGAGGAAGGGGAGGAGGAAGAGGAGCAGGAGGAAGAGGAGGCTGCGGCGGCGGCAATGGCCGAGGAGAACATGGCTCCTGCAGAGGCCAAGGAGCTCCAGCAGGAAACGGCCGAGGCGCCGCTGAGTGCGCCCGGGGCACCCGGGGCAGAGCCCGCGGACACGGAAGAGGAGCTGGGGGCTGAGGCTGAGGACGAAGCCCCCCGGGGCCAGACCCCCACCCCAGAAGAGCCCCCTGAACCCGTGCGTGCTGAGGAGCTTGGGGGGTGCCAAGAGCTCCCGGAAGAGCCAGGCCTAAGCCACGAAGAGGCCATGTTGCTGTCTCCAGAGCCGCCTCCTGCCAGAGATATGGAGGCTCAGGCCCCCTCTTCCCCGGAACAAATTTCAGGTAATGCCTCCAGCCTCCTAGAGGGACAGGGGGAGGAGGGCTGGATGTCCTCCCTATTGAGACCAGCCATGAGGCTCCTTTCTGCCTCAGTTTCCCCTGATGGTCTCCTCTATCCGATGGTGCACTTCTCGTGGGTCACTGGGTAATGGAGGTGAGCCTGCCAGCGACTGTTGCTAGTCTGGTTTGATGCCAGTATTTCATTTGGAGTTCAGTCCTGGGACCTTTGGTTCTGTAAGATACTCCCCTTCCCCCCCAAAAAGCTGGGGGGGCGTGTCCATGGTCATTCTAGTGACAGATGGGAGGTGCGGCCTGGGGTGCCAGGCCAGGCAAGCCAAGGCTCCAGGCTCTGCCCTTTTCTGCCTTGATGGAGCTGAGGAAAGGCTTTGCTTCTCTACTGGGGTCTAGGAGAATGCAGCCTGACAGTGGTGGCCTGACTTGTGTGTACAGTAGGGACAGATTTACAGCGTGTTCATTTAAGTGGACAGAAGCCATGTGGTTAGCACACACCTTTCTGAATTCTTTCAGGAAAGAAAACTTGTATCCTGATACTGTTACTTTGTTTTGTTTTGCCTGTAATGAGTTTTTGCAATCTCCATTTTTGGTTTTTGCTGGTGAACTGGGGATCACAGTCTCTGGGGATTTTCCTGCCGCATATGGCTTTGAACTGTAATCCTCAGATCTCAACTTCCTGAGTAGCTGAGATTACAGGTATGAGCCTGGCTCCTGGTACTGTTTTAAGCATTGGGACAAGCAAAAATGTCTGTCCTTGGGGTTTTAAGAGGCAGGACAGCTGGTGAGTTAGAATGTGTTCTATGACTGGGCGTGCTGAGGAGAAACCTTGAAGGTTCTGACAGGTGCCACGGAGAAGAGACGTGACCAACTCTGTCCCTAGAGGAAACCTTTGTAGGCAACTAGGGCGTGGGATTTGAAGATGAGTATTTTTGTGATGCTGAGGTTCAAGCTGAGGGAGGGCTTCACCTGCTGGTCACCCCAGGCCTAGGCCAGTGGTTCTGGGGATCTGGGGAGAGGCTAGCAGCCACGGCGCCCGTGTCTTTGATTTCCCCTGCCAGCATTGTGCTGACTCTGGGCTGGGTGCCCAGCAGGCTGCAGTGTCACTGGGGAAGGTCTGTCCTCACAGACCTGGGGACTCCGTGGGGGATTAAGCAGCAAGAGCAGGGGGCCCCAAGACCGGGCTGGTGGCCCACAACCTCCCATCCTAGTTACTCAGAAGGCTGAGATGGGAGGATCAGTGTGAAGCCAGCCTGGGCAGGAAAGTCTGTGAGCCTCTTATCGCTGATAATCAACCAAAAAGCTTGAAGTGGAGCCGTGGCTCAAGTGGTAGAGCACCAGCTTTGAGCAAAGGCAGCTCAGGGACAGCCAGGTTCAAGCCCCCAGACTGGCACAAAGAGCAAACGACCGCGGGGCGCCGAGGGGTGTTTGCACTCAGCGACCCATCGCTGGTTCCCCTCTTGTCTGCAGAGGACGCCCCGGCCGCGGAGCCGGAGCGGCCCCCGGTGCCGGCCCCGGC